AAAGCAACAAGGCTGCTATCTTCCTTCTGCTCCTGTTCCTTGTGCAGGACACAGCTTCAAGGTCTCATCCCTGCTGAATCCCAGACTGTTCTTTGCCCTGTTGCAAACTTCAAAGAATTCAGGGAGTCTCAGTTTAGGGACTTCCAATACTAGCATGCTCTAGGTGGCATGTTCTAGCATGAAGTCTAATGATTGCCCTCTAATTACTGCCTTCAGCCCATTTCCTTACTGGAAAGTCTGAACACCTGAGGATCTGGAAACAAACGTTTATTATTCAGAATCCAAGGGGACAGAATGTATGTAGCTTCCTGTGCCTCAGTCAGTTCCACTGGACAAGTATGTGAGTGATGGCTAGGATATGAAATAAGAGGGGTGCACTCTGGTCTTAGGCTCCCAGGCAGCCAGAGCTGGGCTTTATGGGCCAGTGTAGGGGGAAAGATCACCCCATACCAACTAATCAGCAAGGGAAGAATGTTCTCAGACTATATACAGGGAATTTTAAATGCCCCACAACAAGACAGTCAAATGGGCAAGTGGCAGCACACAGGGCTCTCTCTGCTTTAGGAAAACATGCCTGGCTTTGCAGAAGTGTGTTAAACTCAAGTAGGTACTGGCCATACATTGACTTAGAACGACATATTAACATTATCCATGCTCTTTATTTGTTAAATATTTCCCAATTACATTTCAATCTTGTTCAGGCTACACTCAGTATTGTGGACAACATGGGACAAGTGTTTTACACCTCTGCTTTCCTGACCAGGGCAGAAAGTACCGCTGTGAAATACAAATATCAGAAAAATAAAAATATAAATTCAAGGGCACAATCAAAAGGGACTTTATGAAGATGGACTGTTGATATTCTTATAGAGAGGATGATAAGAGGGTTCCTTTGGAATATTAATGTCATAAAGAGTAGTCAAATGAGGCAGAAGACCTGTAAATTCTTTTTTTTACATTTTGATAATGTTAAGGGAAGAAAGAAGAAGAGAAGGATACACTAGAGGAAAAATGGGAGAAAGGATGAAGAAACTTACTGTCTCACATAATGTGGGTGTGCAAGTAGAAATACATATAAAGTGTCAAATGTGTCAGACAAGGTCAAGAAGGATGAACATTAAGAACAAACCATTAGAAAGTCAATAAGTCATGCTTAGTGGATCCTTTATAAATTTGTGTCATTTAATCTCAACTAGGCCCTCCCTGCAGCAAAGCAATCCTTCTATATTCCTCCCTAAGTATTGATCTATTCCACTTACCACAGTAACTATTCCAATCCTTCTCTCCTTTCTCCAAGTAACTCAAAGAATGTTTATCTCCACCACTGTCTCATCAGAGGACCTTATCTCATACTTTACCCTTAAAACTGAAGTCATTCACTCAGAACTTCCTTTTCTTATCTCATGTACCCCTGACATCATCCCTCTTCTACCACTTCCTTCATCTTTGTCTCACGTGAAGAAGCGGCCCTTGTTTCCCAGGCCGGCTCCCCTACATGTCCCTTTGATCTCATCACCTCAAGGCTTCTCCACAGATTGTCCTCACTATCATCCCTTCTCAATGCTAGTTTATTTAAAAAAACATTTTTTAAACATTCACTTTTAAGATTTTGAGTTCTGAATTCCCTTCCTCCTTTCAGACCCTCCCCCATGTACTGACAAGGCAAGCAATATGATACTCATTATACATATGAAGTTATACAAAAGATATTTCTATATTAGCTGTGCCTTCTCATTGATATGTAATTTCTCCTTATCTCCTTGTTTCTTTACTGCTGCCTTCAGATATGCTCCAGTTTCCTACCATCCGTTAGTTATCATCCTACATCTATCCTCTTCTCAGCTAAACTACTTGAAAATTCAGTCTACACTCAGTGCCTAAACTCCCTCTGCTTTCTCTCCTAAATTCTCTGCACTTTGGCTTCTGACCTCATCAATAAATTGAAACTGCACTCTCCAAAGTCATCAATGATCTTTTAATGGACAAATCTAATGGCCTTTCTCAATCTTTATTTTTCTTGACTTCTGAAGTATTTGACCCAGCTGATGAACTTCTTCTGGATACTTTCTCCTCTTGTTTTCATGACCCTTCTCCTTCTTGGTTTTCTTATCAGTCTGACTGCTTCTTCTCAGTTTCCTTGACTGGATCTTCATTCATGCCATACACACTAACTGTGGGTGTCTCCAAGGCTTTGGCTTATCTTTCCGTGTTCACTCACTTGGTACCCTCATCACCACCCAGGGGTATTCAATGATCATCTCTGTGCAGATTAATCCCAGATCTGGATGACCAGTTCTAGTTCCTTTCCCGATCACCAATTGACTCCTGGGCATTTTAAATGGAGTGTGTGGAGGCATATTGAACTCAATATGTCCAAAACCAGAACTCATTGTATTTCTCCCAAATCTAACTCTTATTTGAACTTCCTCATTACTACCATACTTCCTGTCACTCAGGTTTGAAACCTGGATCACCCTTGGTTTTTCACTCTCACTTCCTCTACATAGCCAATCAATTGCCAAATCTACCTGTTTCTGCCTCCAAAACATTTCTTATACCTGTCCCCATCTTACTACTCACACAGCCACCAGCCTGGATCAGGACTCCATCACCTGTGGCTTGGACTACTGCAACAGGCTCTTCATTTTTCCTTCTGCCTCAAGTCTCTCCCATTCCAATATATCCTCCTTGTAGCTGCCAAACTGATATTCCTAAAGCACAGGTCTTGATCATGTCACCCGTTTCCTCAATAAACTCCAATGGTTCTCAGTTATCCCTAGGATCAAAGAAACGCCTGTTTGGCATTTAAAGCTCTTCATAATATGGCCCCTTCCTATCTTTACAGCCTTCTTACACATTACTCCTTGGCACACATTCTGTGTTCTAGTCATATTAGCCTCCTTGCCTTTGCTCACACACTTTGCCTCATCTTCAGTTTTTGTGCCTCTATACTGGCTCCTCTCCAAGCTGAGAATGCTCTTGTTCTTTCAAGACCCAGCTCGAACGCCACTTTCTGTAGGCCACCTTTCCTGGTTCCTTCTCTCCCTCCCCTGCTGGTGCTTTCCCCTCTAAGTTACCTTCTCTTTATTCTGCATGTATCTCCTATATACTGTACCTGTGTTCCTCCATGATGTCTCCCCCATTAGACCATACCCCCCCCTTAAAGGCAAGGATTTTTTCTTTTCTTTGTATCCCCAGCCCTTAGCATAGTGCCTACTTAATAAATGCTTATTGGTTGACTGATTTATCAAGTGCATTTCACAAATGAAGACAGGGAAGCTATGGATTCTCACAGTACTGGCATAGAGTAGGTGTTTAATAAAGAACCAGCTTACGGCCACTGAAAGAAACCTGAGTTACAAGCGAGAAGATGTGGATTAGAATCTTGGCCCTGTCACTTACTAGACATGTAACCTCAGGCAAGTGGCTTAAATACATTTATCAAGTGCTTACTACGTACCAGGCACTATACTAGGTTCTATAAAGACAGAACTCAAACAGATACTGACCTCAAGAAGCTTACAGTCCATCGAGGGGAGACACGTACCCATATAAGTATATACAAACTAGATGCAAAAGACACACAAGGTAATTTTTGGCTTTCACTGTCATTTTACAAATGAGGAAACTGAGTTCCAAAGAGGGCAAACCTTTGCCTTCTGCCTGCAAATGCAGTGCTTCTTCCACTTCACCTCTGTGGGCGTTAATCTTTCACAGCCTGTGTGGTAATAGAAATAGTACTAGACTTGGGAGTCAGGGAGACCTGAGTTCAAGCCCTTTCTCAGCTACTTACTAGCTGTTCTACTTTGGACAATAGAACCAACCAGGAAAGAAATTAAAATGCCCTGCCAATAAATATTAAATTATCTCAGGACTTTTACTTTGTGGATGGCATTGTATTGAGAGGGAAAAAAAATGCTGACTGGGTGACACAGTGGATTGATCATTAGACTTGGAGTCAGGAAGACACAAATTCAAATTCAGCCTCAAATGCTTCCTAGCTATGTGACCCTGACCAATTCACTTAACCTCTGCCTGATTCAGTTTCCTCATCAGTAAAATAGGGATAATAATAGCATCTACATCCCAGGGTTGTTGTGAGGATAAAATAAGATAATATCTGTAAAGTTCTTTGCAAACGTTAAAGTGCTATATAAATGATATTATTATATAGTAACACTTTTGTGAATATGTGTATATAGTCCATATGACTCTTCAGAGGTTCTCCTATCTTTCCAACTGTTCCTTCATTGTTACTGTTACTAATCCCCTACCCCCAACTCTAACATAAGTGTCTTTTCATGAGTATATCCTCAGCCTTCTTCGACTTGAATTCAGGGAGGTCAATTTCTGTCTTGGCTACTTGCTAGCTGTAGGAGCCTGGGCAATTCACTTCACCTTTTCCAGCCTCCGCTTCCTCATCTGTAAAATGTGGAGACCTACCTCCCAGGACTGATGTGAGACTCCAGTAAAATACATAAAGCACTCTGTTAAGCTGAACGCACTATACTTAAACGTTAGCTATTTCCCATATTGATCCCCCTCCCCCATCCCCGTTATCTCCAGCGCTTAGCACAGTAGGAAGCGGAACACAGTAGGAGCTTAATAAATGCTGTAGACTAAGAAAGCTGGGCTGGATGACCTTTCTGTTTCCCTGCAGCTCCGAAATGCCCTCTTTCCTGAATGCTCGTGGAATGAACGAACGATCCTCCTTATTTTCGCTCACAGAGCCAGCCTCTGCTCCGCTACCCCAGCCCTCCTGGGGTCTCCCATCGCGCTCTCCCGGATGCGCAGCACACGCCGGGTCCAAGTTTCCAGCAGGTGGGCGGGGCTCGGCGGCTGCGGGGCCGGATGAGGAGGGAAGAGAGAGAAAGGAGGAGGGAGGAAGGGAGGAGAGAAGAGGGAGGAGGAGGGAGGGGCGGGGCGTGCAGGCTCCTCTTCTCTCCGGTCACCTGGCTGCACCCCGGCATTAGTGCGCGAGTTAGCGAGCGTGCGAGGCCATGGAAGGCGACGGGGTTCCGCGCGCGCGCTCGGCCACCTCCCGGGGCCTCCCGGGGCCTCCTCTGCTGGCGGTGCTGCTGCTGCTGCTCTGCGGTCCGGGCCTGGGAGAGCCGCGCGCCCCGCCGGAAAAGATTGGTAGGAGAGCGGGCATGCCGAGGGAGGGAGGAAAGCAAGAGGGCATGCCCATCCCCCAGCCCCCACTCGCGTTCACGGCGCAGCTCCCTTTTGCATACCCTTTGTCCCGAGCTGGAAGTGGTAGGGCCCGCCCCGGGGCAGATTTATTGCAGCTCTAGCTAGCTGCAACCCCCCCCCCCCAAAAAAAAGATGGACCGTAGAACCTGCCATCAATGACTCCTTGATCCGTCATGAGCTCGGAATACAGATGGGGAGACTGAGGCCCGGAACCGGGAAGCCACTTGCCCCCAAACCAACCAAGCTAGTTAGTAGCCGAGTCGGGATTAGCTCGGATTCTAGGGGCAGCCGTGGAATAGGGGGAAAGATCACTGGTCTGGAAGCCAGAAGATGTGGGTCTGACTTCCAGTCCTGCCAGTTGTGTGATCTTAGGCAAAAAGCACTCAATTGTGCTGGACCTCAGTTTTCCTTCTCTGTCTAATGGGCCAGGTCGGCGGAGGAGAAGAAATGAGAAGAGTGGTGGAGTGAGTGGCATATTTTAACATTCCTCTTTTTATTTTTAATTTGCCTCCGATTTGTGATTTCGTTGGTAGAGGAAACTCCTCCTACCCTGCTGAAAGGCTGCTTTCAACCCTGACATTTTGTTACTCTACATACCATGTTCTCTTCTACTTTACTGTGCTGGGTGAGGTCAGTGAGGGATGATGCGGCTGGCTAAGCAGGTAGGGAGGCCTATGTGATCATAAGTTTGGAGCTGGAACAGACGTTAGAGACCGTAGAATCCAGGCTCATTCATTCTTGAGCCTCCACTTCCTAATCTGTAAAGCAGTGGGGCAGTTCCAGATGATTTCTTGAAATCCAGCTCAAAACCCTAGAGATTTACACCCCTCTTCACTTGACAGAATGTGAATCAGACTTTTGTGGATAAAGAAATAGAGTCGAGGAATATGGAGTAAAGGAAATAGGATGGAAGGAAAATAGGTCCTAGATCACAGGTAAGGCTACCCAGGCCTGTAGACTCCTTTAGTATCCTGAATAGGGAGCAAAGAGGGCTTTGTGAAGGCCCAGAAAGGTGGCCTTTTCTGCAACCAAACACGATAACTCATGTTTGTACAGTGCCTTCTTTCCTTGCAAGACTCCCCTTGAAGTAGGGCATGCCAACATCAACTTGCCTACTTTGCCGATGAGGATGAGTGATGCTTAGCCAGAGGCAGACTTGACCACAGTGAGGAAGGTAGGAGGTTTTAGAACTGGTACTGGAACCTAGGTCTTCTGATTCCCACTGGGATACTAGACTGCCTCTCTTTATGATTCCAAACTCAAGCATTTGTAGTGAGCTTGTGGGGGTTGGAGAAGCATAGAAGTAGGTCACTTGTTTTGTATCTTGGACCTCAGAAGCCCTTTCCCCGGCTCTTTGGAGTAAACTGCCAGCCAGGGGCACACATTTTTCTTTGGATACAGCTTGGATGCTCCAATGTGTGGGTGATGAAAATTGCATAGATCAAGAGTAACATATAAGAAATCATTTCAATAGAGAAGAGTATGAGTCCAGAGGCTATTTCTTCCTGATTCCTGGTGGTAACAAAAGCCTTTGAGGCCTTTGGGGGGGGGGGGCAGGTATGTAGCTGCTGCAGAGATGAAAAGAGTAGTGAAGTGACTGCCATATTTTATGTTACTCCATTTTTTTTTTTGCATCAGATTTGTTATTTCTTTGGTGTAGATAACTCACCCTACCAATGCCTAACCACATTTTTTTGCAATTTATCATTTGAGAGAGTAGCCAGAGGCACTGAAAGGTTGAGCAGTTTGCCCAGGGTCAGACAGGATACATAGTATGGGGGAAATAGAGAGCCCTGATAGAGACCCACTGAGTCAGAAAGACCTCCAAGTCTCTTCTGATAAGTAATCCCTTAGGATGCACCAAAAAAAAAAAGTTCTTCATGGTGCTTAGATGCTTATTTTATGGTAAGTCAGGTTGAATTTGTTGCCTTGAAGGCCTCTGGGCCCATTTGGCTTGTCTTGCCTGACTCTTTTTGAACCTAAATCCTTCAGTTGCCTTAGATAAGTCTATTTTTGTCTTAGGTCAGATTACCTTACTGGTTACCTCTTCTCTTGTTTGAAATGGTATACTGTGTAGTCATTAACATATGTGTGTCTCTGTCCTTCTGTGAAGTCCTTCAGTGCCTCATCACAGTGGAGTATAACTTTACTTTCCCTACGGGCTATGTTAACAAATTCCATTAGGACCTACCAAGCTGGCAGAGGTTGACTATGGGGCTTGGTGATGGACTGTCTGTATAGAACGTCTGTTGTCTGCAGACCAGACTGGCTAAGACTAGAGAAACTTATCACCAGAACATAATGTGTTATATTCTAACACACATTCAAGGCCGTGAAATCAAAAAGGCCTCGTCTGCCAGAATTATATACAGTACCAGGTATTCCGTTGTGTATCCTTTTCTCATGGCCTGGGCTCAGGGAGAAGTTTGACAAGTGCTAATATTGTTGCTAAATCAACTTGTGTATGATTAATATCAATTGGCACATCTCTGCTTTTGTATGGGGTGGAGCATTTTGTTGAAAAGTTTCAGTTTTTGTTCTTCTTCCTTCTGGTCACAAGGTTTGAAAATTACACAATCCTACATGTGGAACCTATATCAGATTGCATGCCATCTTGGAGAGGGGGCAGTGGAGGGATGGGGAGAAAATTTAGAACTCAGAATCTTATAGAAGTGAATATTGAAGACTAAAAACAAATGAAGAAAATTAAAAAAAAAAAGAAAATTACACAATCCCTTCTCTCTACTCCCATACTCCTTAAAAATGTTGCCCTGTGGCTCATCAGAGGCTTTGAGCCTCTATGGTAAGTGAATACAACTTGATGTGTCACACAATAAATCTCCATGAACTGTGAATGGTGGGATTTTTGTTATTAAAAATTCTCTGTGCTAAAAGAGTAATATTTTAAATTTTGTTTCTGTTAACAAGTGTTTATTTTCTCAGCTCCCTATCTACCCTCCCTCTTTCCATTGGAAAAAGAAAACAATCCTATGTAACAAATATGCCTAGTCAAACAAATTTCCACATTAGGCATTTCTAGAACGGTTATAGTCTTCATATTTAGTCCATCACCTTTTTGTTAGGAGTGGGGATGAGATTTGCCATCACTGGTCATCTGGAATCAGGGTTGACCATTGTTTTAATTAGAATTCTTAAACCGTTCAAATTGTTTGTTATGTTATAATATAAATTGTTTTCTTGGTTCTGTTCGCATCAGTTCCTAAAGTCTTCTCAGGTTTCTCTGAAACACTTCTTTCTTTATTTCTTATGGCATCAAAATATTCAATTATATTTATATGGCATAATTTGTTTAGCCATTCCTCAGTTGCTGGGCAACCCTTTTATTTCCAGTTTTTTGCCACCAGACAAAGAGCTGCTATAAATATTTATGTACATGTGATAAATACACACAAAATAAATATAATGAAATACATACAAAATAGATATCATAAGAGAGGAACTTTTCCTCTGTAATAAGTAAAATGAAAAAGTGCTTCTTCTTGCACTTTCCTGCAGATACCACCTTCCTAAGCCTATCTTGCCTAATCATAGTCTAGAATTGAGAGGATCATAGATTTAGAGCTGGAAGAGACCTTAGAGTTTTACTGTGGCCAACTCCGTCATTTTATAGATGAGGAAATTTAAAACTGTTAATTATATTATTTGCAGAAGGTCATAGTAGCAGAGCCACGTTTTAAGCAGACCTTTGACTCCAGCGCTATTGTTTTTTTTTATCTCCCTCATGCTACCTGGCACTGTTGCCAAAATCCATATCTTCTTACCAGTGTCAGTTTCTTTCTTTCTTTCTTTCTTTCTTTCTTTCTTTCTTTCTTTCTTTCTTTCTTTCTTTCTTTCTTTCTTTCTTT